TGCGGCAAATCAAAAACCGTATGAGGCAGACCAAAAACCGTATGCGGCAAATCAAAAACCGTATGAGGCAGATCAAAAACCGTATGAGGCAGACCAAAAACCGTATGCGGCAAATCAAAAACCGTATGAGGCAGACCAAAAACCGTATGCGGCAAATCAAAAACCGTATGAGGCAGACCAAAAACCGTATGCGGCAAATCAAAAACCGTATGAGGCAGACCAAAAACCGTATGCGGCAAATCAAAAACCGTATGAGGCAGACCAAAAACCGTATGCGGCAAATCAAAAACCGTATGAGGCAGACCAAAAACCGTATGCGGCAAATCAAAAACCGTATGAGGCAGACCAAAAACCGTGCGTAGCGCTGGCGCAGGTTGGCGCTTGGTCCTTGTGGTCCTTGTGGCCCTTGTGGTCCTTGTTCCGTCGATCGGGCAATTAATACGGGCCGTGTCTACCGGGGAGGGGAGGGGGCAGCGGGGCCAGCCGACAAAAAGGTGTTTGGCGCCACGCTCCCCCTCCTCTCTCTCTCCACGGGCCGGCCGCGCACACCTCGTCCCTTGTACTGTACGCCGCCGCCGCCGCCGTGGTCCCTGCTGCAGGACTGTCCGACAAAAAAGAGAAACACCTCGGCTTACTTCCCCGGCCAAATAACAGCGACACTACACTCCAACACGCCCCGCATACTTTGTTTGGCAGGAAACACGCAGCGGGCCCTGGCCGGCCGTCCTGGCGGCGTGCCGGCCCGGGCCGGCCCGGGCAGTGTAGTGGCGGCGGGCCTCGTTGGGCTAATGAGACGCTAACTGCCCCGTGCTCTTTATTTTGGTGCCGCGGAGGGCGGCGGGCCGGCAGGGCGGCCTCCGGGTCTGAGTGTCTGGGCCCCTGGGTGGCACCCGGGGCAGCGGACCGGGGCAGGGACCTCCTGGACCTCCTCGCTTACAAAGTCGCACCGGCGGCGCTACCGCCTCCCCGTGGGGACTCTCGCCGGCTCTTTCTTTCTCGTATCCACGGGACACCATGAGTGTGACAGAGAGAGACCCTTCGCTCGGAATCAGGCTGCACGACCAGGGCGGCGCTGGCCTGGCGGCGAGCTGGCCTGTGCCCTATGGCAGCCGGGCAGAGACGTTTGGATACAGGAATGGAAGTTCAAACCCCAGTCACTCATCGAGTAATGTTCTCACTGATCGGCTAGCTGAGAACCACCCACGGTAGCAGGGATTGCTGTGTGGCGCGCTTGGCCCCAGGGCGGGGCGGGGCAGGGCAGGTCGGGGTCGGCGCGTAGTGCGAACACCGGGCGGACGCCTTGCCTCGCCTCCTCGATGATCATCATGACGTCTTCCTCGGGCGGGACGCGGGACGTCGCCAGCAAGCCAGCCATCACCGGCACGCGATGCAGCAGCCGCACGCTACCGCACGGCCCTCTGTCTCTCTCGCACTCACGGTGGCGTGCCGCGGGCCGTGCGGGCGCGAGAGAGACAGAGGGACGGCAGGACTGCTCGGAATCACAGGGCAGCGGCGAACGCCTCGCTCCGGAAATCGACCCCGCCTCGCCTTCGCAGTGCCTCAACGACTCGCTGACTTCTGCCAGAACCTCAGTGATTGCCCCGAGCAAGTTTTAAACGGAATTATGCTTTGCATTGTGTACGCCCAAGACAGGAGAGGTTTTTGAAAATAATGAAATGCAATTTTCATGAACTGTTGTCCGAATGAAGCGCTATGTTCTCCGCTTAAAAATTGCACGAGCTTTTAAATTTGATGCCACAACCTTGGGCCTTTTCATCGCGTTTTTCGTTTCCTTGCGAGCGGGGGCAATTGAATGCTATCCGCGCTTCATGATCGCTGCTCCGCGCCTCCCACGCCCCGAGCTCCAGTTGCAGCTCCGGGAGCTCCGGGAGGGCCTTGCCGCCTCGGCCGACCGCCCCGGACCGCCCGGACCGCCCAAGGAACGGGAGCGCTGCGCCGCGCCGCCCAGTGGTTCAGAAACGGAAAAAGCTGTGCAAAAGAGATTGTTGGGAGGCCGTTTAAGATATTGGTATGAAAACTTCACCCCAGGGGTTTTTGGGGTAGCTGAATTCATTTCTGGCGTTGTTTTGAACCATTGACGTAACGCTTATTCACTAGCGTTACTTTTTATTTTTATTTATTTATTTATTTATTTATTTTTTTTTTGCGGGGGGGGTGCTGTATGTGTACTGTACTTGTACGTTTTCGGGGTCGCTGAATCTATTCGTGACGTTACTTTGGACCACAGACGTAACGTTTAATTACTAGCGTCACTTAGTTTCAATTTCAGTTTTAAAAGCTGTGTTTACACTTTGCTCATACGTTTCTGGGGTCACTGAATTCATTTCCGATGTTATTTCAAATCGTAGACGTGCCCCTTTCATACAAAAGTAGCTTGTATTTGTGCATCACCTTGTGTTTCATTATTTTGGAAAAGGTTTAAGATATTATCAAAAGAGACATCAGTCAGTATAATCCATTTCATCGGCCCGTTTTGAGGCCGGATATGCAGGTATATGCAAAAACGGCGCAGTGCGCTCGAAAGCTGACATGATAAGCTTTAATATGAGCCCAAGATCTCCAGGTTCCGACAGGTTCCACACAAGTTACAGGCAAATCTTTTCCAAAAGTGGTCAAAAAAACCGTGATTTGCATTGACACAAAAGAAAGAGATTTAACACGGAACGGAATGAGTGAGCGCAAATCTGAAGGCACCGTTGAAAAGAGGAGAGTTTGGACTACCTTGCTGCATGTTTAGATTTTAACCAGCCTGTCATGTTCGTCAAGGAGCGGCCGCCAAAAGAGCGGAACACTTCGGCCGCTCCACTCGCTTCGCGCGCGTAGCGCCGAAGCGGAAACGGGCACGCTTGTCCTGGCGAGTGCGTGGGGTACCAGGGCAAAACAAACTCGGCTTTGGGCCCTCCTGACATCCCTCTTACCCATTGCAAAGTCGTTTTCGGCTAATCGCAAAGTTGAAAAAAGGACTTTTGCACAGCTTTTTCCGTTTCTGAACCACTGTGCGCCGGCCGCGCCGCAGTCCGGACCCACCGCACTCTTCCGGCGGCGGGACGGCGGGGACACCGCTCCGGGTCCTCCGGGTCCTCCGGGTCGACCGCCTGTCACAGCACAGGCCTGTTGGCTCTGTTAGGGCGGGCTGACGCCGGCGGGCCGGGCGGGGCCCTCCGAAATGTCTTTGTAATCTGTCGCGCCGCGAACGCCGTTTAGTTCTCACGGACTGAAACCATTAGGAAGTGGGGCCTACGCCGCCGGGTGTGCCACCCAACACTCGGGAGTCTGGATTCCGCGTCGCGCCGTCGTCGCTCCGTTTCTCTCGCACATGACGGTGCCCGTCGTTGGTGCTCATCGTTTAGCCTTCGTCGTGGGTGGAACTTGACCGCGTTCGTGTCGCGCTGGGCAGCTCGCGCGCTCGCTTGCTCGTCTGATCACATCACGAACCCACACTAGGAAACCCTGGGCGTGTATGGTTGTCGGTGTGCCCCGCCGTGCCCAAACAGCCATCAAGTCGCCCCGTGCCGCCGTGCCGCGTGGGTGGCGCTGCGGACGCGTCATTATGTCGTCGTGGCAACCATGGCAACCGTCGTGGCAACCGCGGTCAGCCTGTCATCAAGGACCTGGTGGCCGCCACCGCCGCGTCGCGCGTCCCGCGCACAGCCTGCCGTGCCGACCTGCTCACCGCGCCGCGGGGGAGGACGTCCTGGACGCCGAGGAGGACGCCAAGCTCCACGTGGACGAGGGCAAGACGGCGGGACTCCAAGCCTCGTCGTCGACGCGGAGCGCACGGGAGTCCTTCATCCGCCCATGAGGATCCGCCCTGATGAGACGACGCCCGCTTTGCCGCTTCTCCGCATTGACGAGGCGTCATCGGCTGCCGCGCGAGCTGACGGGACGGGCATGCTGGCGCCCAAGTTGGAGGTGATCGAGTGGCGTGTGTGTTGTTGCCTTGTAAACTCCTCGCGAACCACTCTGCCGTGATGGCGCCGATGGCGCTGCGGGGGCCGGCGGCAGGCGCGGCCCGGACGCACCCCCGCGAGGTGGCCAAGTCCCCCCGGTCCGCAACACACCGACACACCGCGCCGCGCACTGCACGCCGGTCGATGGGGCCACTCTGACAGTTTCTGCCGCCAAGTAAGCGTCTGCCAGCGGCAATCAAGCCGCCACTTCATCAGGCCTGTCAACGCCGGCCTCGGCCAGCGCGGCTAGCTCGGCTAGCCTCCACCCCTTCCCAGGGCCTCCCCCAGGACGCGCCAGGACGCCCCCTCGGCCGAGGCCGCGCGGGGGTAGCAGACAGCAGGGCAGGCGGGGCTGCAGGGCAGACCCCGGCGGCAGGCCGGCAGCGTAACGGTAACAGCTCGCTGAATTATTTGCCGGCTTATGAGGGAATCTGGTTTTCCAGCAGCACCGCCCGGCCGGCCCGGCGCGGCGTGGAGTGTGGCGTGGACGCGCGCGGCGCGAGGCGCGCAAAGGGCGGCACACTGCGTTGCACCGCGTCGACAGCCTGACAGCCCGGCTCCCCCACAAAGCGGCCGAGTCACTGCGCTAATGGCTGCCATGCGGAAGGGAAGGACTATCACCTGTGTTTGCTGCTGTGAAAATCTCGAAAAACGACGCTTGATGTTGGTCACTCCGCTGAAGAAAACACCCTGTTTCGTTACCCTGGGGGGGGGGGGGGGGGGGGGATTAAATGAGTTAAGTGTTCTATTGAAAGGCTTTGTATTTCGTGATAATCGATATGTATACTTTGCAAATATGTACAAATTTGTAAGACAGTTAAGAGCATGTACAACACAGGTGTAAATGGGATCAGGATTTTCTGATCATTTACCCATTTTTCTGATAAAATTTGGGATTTTCTGATCATTGGCGTACTATCAGAAAAATTGGCATCAGAATTGCAAGAATTTCTGATAACTGTGAAATGATCAGAGAAAAAGTCTGATCGCTAATTATTGATCAGGGAAAATTTCTGATCCGAAAAGTGATCAGACAGTGATCAGAATAGAGTCATCAGAAAACATAGACATTCTGATAACATGCAAAACTATCAGAAAATCGTGATGTCTCAAAAATCTAGATGCCTGTAAAACAGAAAGTTTTCGGAATTTTGGTTTCAAATTTGGTGAGCGGTATGTTCGCGACATTTGGCTAGGGCATTTTCAAGGTCATGAAATTTAGACCATATCTTCTGGCATTTTGAGAGCTGATGGCGAGCTAGCGTGAAACGGATTGCAGAATTGGATCGGACTCAGTTTCGACCCCCTAGAGCCGTTTGCCTCATCTCCGTACCTTTCATGACCGTGAAAATATCCTGAGTCAGATATCGTTACATTTCTGATAATACAATTTCTGATTCTACTCCAGTGGTGATCAGACCCGAGGTGATCAGAGCCACGCTGATCAGAAACGTGATCAGGAATCAGGAAAAAAAACATCAGAAAAGGTGTTCGAAAAAGCATCAGGTTTTTTCCTGATCTTCAATTTTCTGATCCAGAAAGTGATCAGCGCTAGGTGATCAGAAAATCCTGATCCCATTTACACCTGTGAATTCAAAGTGGTACTTGTAGGCAATTACTAAAAAGAGATCAATATTATTATGTACAGAATAAAATCACTGATGACTCATACAAAAGAAATGTACAGCATTATATAACATTATTTAAGCTAAAACAAAAAAAACAATTTCAATAATCAAGATCTAACGCCAAACATACTTTAAACATATTCGTAAAAATCATATCTGACTAATTTGTCATATTGCACTTGCTACAATAAGTCATAGTACTCTTGGAAGCTCTGAGCTCTATTACACATTGGGCTTTTAAAAAAAAATAACAAAAAACAAAACAAACAAGGAAAACACAGAAAGGGGCCTAAAACTTTTACTGGTCAATATACTTAATAAGTACGGCTATTTTTATCTGGAATAAAGCTGCGTATTATTTCAGAGGACTGCCTCCGCGCCATTCCAAAATCGCAGGCGGGGTATTGCCACGAGATTTGGTCAATTTGTTTTGGAAACCGGAGCCGCCTGGCGTCGCATGGTGGCGGCCATGGCGTCACCATGACGACGCAGTGACCTTCAGGATAAGATTCCTTCCCAATCGAGTGAGATGACTTGATGTGGCTACTCGGCTAATCGCTATGCACTCATCAGGCCTGATTGGTCGGGGTGCGTCATTGCTGCAACGCGCCGATGCCTGATGAGCAGCGGAGCGATTAGGCGCCTAATCTCCTGGATTCCCACGTGATTCCCTCACCATTATCGGACTAGATCCGATCAACGAACAACAACATGTCCTCGGAGGCCTTCAAAAAGCAATCATTTGTTGAAAACTAGAAACAAAAAATATTTTTTTCCTTTTTTTTTCGCGCTTACAGAGAAAAGAAAAATTAGACGTCCATATCACTGAAATATCACTTGGTTTCGATAGAGTCCGCCGCTCCCAGCGGGCCGTGGCCATGGCCAGCGCTCTCAGCAGATGGGCGAGGCGATGGGCTGGTGGTAGGGCTGGTGGGTCTGGTGGGTCGCGGGGGGCGGCTCCGTGGGGCTGTGGCCCCGCAGCGGGGGCGGCGCGTGGTGCGGCGGCGGCGGCCCCACCCCGGCCCAGGGCTGGAGGTTCTGCAGCGCGCTGAGGGCCCCCGCGCCCGGGGGCGGCGCGGGGTGCGGCGGGCTGCCCGGGGCCGGCGGGTGGTCGCCGTTGAGGTTGGCGGCGCCGCGGTCGCGGGGGTCGCGGTCGGCGTGGTGGTGCTGCATGGCGGCCGGCTGGTGCGGCGCGTGCGGCGCGTGCTGCCGCTCGAACATGCCCTTGCTCAGCGCCTCGGCCTGCAGCGACATCATCAGCCGGTTGGCGGCCTGCCGCTCCGCCTCGCGCTCCTCCGCGGTCTGCCTCCTGCAACAACAACACTCCCGTCAGGCAAGGTGCAACAGTGTGCCACAGTGTGCAAGGCGCATTAAAGCGCAAGACAGAGACACCGGAACACCGCCTCGCATCAACTTTTCAGGACGCCCCCCCCCCCCCCGCACTCAAAGTAAATCATACAACAGCGTCCCGGCCGCGGCCACCCCGCCGCACCGCGTCCAGCACCTCGCCGCCGCACCTCGCATCTCCGCTCCGCTCGCGGCCACGCCGAGGCCGAAGGGTTGACTGACACGGAGGGGAGCGGAATGGAGAGAGGTTCTACACTGAAAGAAAGGGAAGGGATTGCCTGTCGTCACTCCAGTCACTCCGACTGGCCACTTTGCAGGCCACTCTCACGCCGCTCGCGCCGTGACACGCGGTGACGCGCGCTGACACGCGGCACGCAGTTACCCTATCGCCCCGCAACACTTGTCGAAGGCCTCGACACCCCCTCGAGCAAAATGGCGCGGTGCTCCGAATGGCAGTGGCTGCAACCCCCGACCCCAACCCGGCGCACGCGGATCAAAAATTCAGCGTCGCCTACATGCGGAGGCCCAGGCTGCCGCGGCGCCGCGGTGCCGCGGAAAGGCGCGGTGCCCGTCGTCTCGCTGTCACGGAATGTCCCGCCGAGACGAGCGCGACGCGGCGTCGCCCGCGGGGCGCGCCTCCACTGTGGGGCGACTTTTCAAAACCACCCGCTGGCCCTTTATCTCGTCTCCGGGGCGTCGACGCGGACGTGCAGGCCGCTCCCCCGCGGCCACGGCCCCCGTCGGTCCGGCCGGCGCCAAGCCGACGACGTTTTTAAAGTCCGCCTCGCTGCATAATGGATGCCGGACACAGTCTGCAGCCTGGCTGGGCCCCAAGGATCATTCTGTCTCTCTCTCACCCCCTGCTGACGCCCCATGAGTTCGAGAAAGACAGAGCGGTAGTGCTGGATGCGAGATTACGTGTGACTACGATGTGGCCAGCTAGCAAAGCGAAGTTCAGACAGCAGGCCATGTCTTGCCGGGGACGATTCGGGGCTTCGATTTCGATGTGCGTTCGCTTGTTTTCCAGCGGCAAAGTCCCGGGGGGAGGGGGGGGGGGGTGAGCTTGTGAGCGCGGCGAGGCGATTCGTTGGTCTAACGACGCCGTTGGACCCTCCCATCTATATGGTGGCGTTGTTAGATGCGCCACATCACCCGCAGAGGGCGTTGCTGCGTTGCTGCGTCGCTGCGGCTGTGGACCGGAGGCAGAGGAAGGGGCCGGAGCTGGGATCGCAAACGAGTCTCGTCAGGCACGCCTAGTCTGGACTCGGAGGAAAACGGGCCTATTCATACCAAAGCCACGGGAATAAATGGGCAGCGGTAAATAAATAAGGTTTCTCTTTTCCCCGTGATTGGAAGTAGAGTAAAAGGGCGGGGAGCAGCTTGCTTTGGCCAGGACGGCAAGGCAGGACGGCCAGGGCAGGACGCTCGCTCCATCGCCTTGTCGTAACCACAAACAGCGTGTAACGAGTGCCGCGAGTGTGTTGCGTTGCGGCCCGCCCTGCCGGCCTGCCCGTCCTGCCCCTCGCCCGGCCTGCCCCTCGCCGGCTCTGCAGAGCACACCACGGCCTCCCCTAAGTCCGACAAGTCCAACCCCTGCAGCTAAGTCCCGGCCAATTACCGTAATGGCCTTCTCCCCCTCCCCCCTCATTCCATCTCATTCCATCTCATTCCTTCCCTCCATCTTCATCGCGTTCTATCGTTCTTGCACGATTCATTTTTTTATCGTCTGCGCGCGGCCGCAAGAGAGCCTCCTCGGCAGCTTCTTTTTGTTTTTCGGTTGTTGTTTTCCTTTTTTTTTCGAGTGCGGTTCATTATAATCGGCCGGCGAGAGCCCCGTTTAGGCGCGCGTTTTGGTTGAAGGTGTCTGTCGGTTAGGGAAGCGGGCCGTCGTCACTGGCACTGGGAAACTGGAAACTCGGAAGGAAAAGAGGAAAGCGAAACAGGAAACGAATTAGCGGCAAACGATGACGGAAAGAGGAGCAGTCTCACTGCAGCAAGTCCGACCCTCGCGACGGGGAGAGGGAAGAACTCCTGCATCTGCGCGGTCAGCTAAAACGGCAATAAGTTTTCTTCCTTTCTCTACACAAAGGGTGGATAATTAAATGCACAATCAACAGAACTCGCGAAAATGAGGAAGGGAGAAAAATAATCAGTCGTCGCGGGTGACGCGCAACTCGTGGAACTGCAGTGAATTTATCCGGCGATTTGTTCCCAAGTAAAAGGGGTGAAGTAATTGTAAATGAAGTAGCAGCCGGCTTTTCCGAAACCAGAGAGAGACGACCAGACCGAGCCCCATTACCTCTCCCTTCCATTTTTTTCCCTGCACGTGAGTGAACGCACCTGCCACCGCCACACTGCATGCTGGCGGCGCGGCGGCGCGGTGGTGGGGGCGCGTCGGAGGCCCGCCCCGCCCGCCCCGCCCCAGCCGGAAAGATGGCGGCGGGCCGGCCTCGCCTCGGAAAGTACCAACCGCTTCTCGCTGAATTCCGTCCTATTTCATGTAAATTTAGACAGTTTTGGGGCTGGAATGAATACCCGTTTGCGATATTTCGTTTCATCCGCACCGATTCGTGCCTGTTTTTATCGGTGTCGGTTGACGGCGACCTTGGCATTGCACGCGACCGATCCCACCCCGGTGAACGTACGCCGAAACGCGGAAGAGCGTGGGCCCCGGGGCCGCGGGGCTGCGGGGCCGACTGAGTGCACTTTGCAGCGCAGCGCGCACACACGCAGTTTGGCGCCCAGAGGACCCCAAGGACCTCTAAGGACCGCCGCCCCGCCGTTCGGAACGCTAAAAGGCAACAGCCGCAAAGTGGGCGCTGGCCGCGGTTTCCATGGCAACCCCGGCGACCGCAACCGCGCCCCGCCGCCCCGCCGCCCCGCCATGCATGCGGTGCGAAAACACAGCACGGCCACGCCGCGCCACGCCACGCTCGCTGTACTTAAAGTGCCATTTACTTAACTCGCGCCACACTAGCTCCCATTAGGGCCACTAGGGCCCCACGGCAACAATGGCGGTGCCCCCCCCCTTCCCCTCTCCCGTCACACGACCACGACCCGACGTGAACTCGCGCGGCCGCGATGGAACTGCTTGTAATAAGCGGGCAGGCCGTGCGGCCGGACAGGACGGCTTGGCGAGGCGAGGCGAGACCACTGTCGAGTCGTTCACGTCGTTCATTCGGCGAGTGCACGCGGCACTGTAAGGCACGGCACTCGGCCAGGAAATTCGTCCGGCTGTTCCGTGAGTTGATTGGTTCGGGACTCGGGGCGATGGCGATGAGACCGCGAAGGCCGTCGTTTTGGAGGCGTCGCGTTGCTCCGCGTTGCTTGGCGTTGCGTGCCGCGTGGTCGTTGACGGCCGCATCGAGGCACCGACGCCGGCACTGCACTGGCGCCACCCGCGGCATCAGCCCCGCGGGAGTATGAAGACAGCGCAAGGACTCGCAGGACGAGGAGAGGGAAAGAGAGAAACACTCCAACTCGACGACAACAACTTTCCTAGGAAAGAATAACTAGAAGCGGCCGCCTAAGTGCCCCCCGCCCCGCCCCGATTCGGTTGTCGCGACTGTCTTGCCGCGCAGTTACTACACTGTTACTACCCGCCCGGCCCCCGCCCCACCGCTTTCCCCGCTTCTTACTAAAACGCAGGAAAATAAAAAGAATATTGCTTCCAGAAAAAAGGGCGGGCGTGTGCGGTGCGCGCGCCACCTGCGACAACAGCTGCTTTGCTGCGCCACTGGCAGAACACAGTGCAGCACCCGGTGGGGCTGGAGGGGCGGGCCGACGGCGTCCTGGCCAATGACGGCGTGCCTCCACTGGGCCATCATCGTCATCAGCGGCGCGGCGCTGCTCGGCGCGCGGCGGCCGGGCGGGGGGCGTCGTTTTAATTTGCGTCGTAATGGAAACGTCGTCGTGGAAATTGGATTTCACAGGACTGCCTGGCCGCCATCGCGGAGGGCTTATCTCGGGTGTATCTTTGTCTCGGCAAGGCGCGGTAATTCAATTGGGGCCGCCCCGCACCACCCGCGCTGGAGGTGCGCCTCGCCAACAACAACATCAACAACAACCACCACCACCACCTCCGCGTGAACGACCTCGTGACCTCGGGCCATCGCCAGTTCCTCCGCCACGGCCCGGTGCGCGCGGTGCGCGGCGCTCTGGCGGTGCTGGAGGTGGCCGCGTTTCGTTTCGGCTGCCAGTCGGCATTGCCAGTCGGCCGTAATCACATGGAAGCGAAGCCGAGGCCCACCAAGGCGGTACGGCGTTCCGGGCATTTGCATCGCAGTTCACATTCGAACGCCAAGGCTAGGCACGCAGTGATTGCTTCATTACCCGTTGTGCCGCATGGGCGCGAGAGAGACAGAGCGACGCGCTTACCTCCACTTGGTTCTCCGATTCTGGAACCACGTCTTGACCTGCGCGTCGGTCATCTTGAGCGTCTTGGCGAGCGAGGCGCGCTCCGCCGAGGCCAGGTACTTCTGCCGGTGGAAGCGCTTCTCCAGCTCGGCGATCTGCAGCCTGGTGAAGGACGTCCGGGGCTTCTTCCGCTTCGGCGGCGTCCGGTTCTGGTAGGGGTGGCCGATCCGCCTCGTCATCGGGAAGGTGGCTGCAACAACGGGGGGGGACACTGTTAAAATGGATTCCGTGCAGCGTTTCTGACTTTCGGTGTGCTCGCGGCCTCGCCAGACGGCGTAGCGCCTCGCGGAGCGCCCTGGAAAGGTCGGGAGATCGTTAAGTCGAACCGCCTCGGCTCGGCCAGCCTCGGCCGGCACGAGCAGACGATAAGAACGAACGCAAGTCAGGCAAAGCTCTGCCCGCCCCGCCAGGACCGACCGCAGCCAGTCAAAAGCGGGCAAATCATCTCGCTCATTCCAATCCGATACGTGGCCGCGGCGCTGCGGCGCTTCGCCATCGAAGATCGAAGCCTTGTTGGGCCACCTGCCTGCCCACTTCCTGTCACCTGAGCTGCCCGGGCTGCCCGAGCCGAGTCCCAGTGGCCCCGGGAACCACTTGACCAGACCACAAGCCTCGATGAGCACGGCGGCGCGCATGGAGGCGGTGGCACAGTCAGGCCAAGATGGCCGCCAAGTACTTTTTGGTCCGGCTCGGCGCGCCGCCCGCCCCGGTCAGGAAATACCCGTCTGTCTGCTCATGCCAGGCTGTGCCTCGCTGTGCCAGGCCTGCCCCTGCTGACCGCAAGCAAGGACGATTATTGGACTGCGGCCCATCAAATCATCAACAACAAGACAACAACAGCAGCAAAGCGATGCCCGCACTGTTTTCAGGCGTTTCCCCATGTTTTGTAATTTTTTTTTCGCAGGCTAGGGCCGCTGCTGCCAGCGTTTTGTATTAAAACGATAATGATCAAGGGGAAGGTGTGAAGCGAAAGCAGCGCAGTTGTTTCCCCGCGGTTTCGTTCTCTCGATTTCATTTAGTGCGCCGCGATGTCACGAAACACGCAAAAAAGTGTCCGACAAGCCCCACGGTCGACGAGGAAGGAAACACATCCACGGCGCGTCCCGACGGCTGTTGCGGCCGCCACGTTTCCCCGCTTCGTTTTCCGGAGCACCTCGCGTTGCCGCGGCGCGTCGAACCGTCATTTAAGATAATGGCGCCCAAAAAGAAAACAAGATGGCGGCGGCCGGCACGGATAAACACGATCCGAGTAACAACCAAAAATTTTCCTCAAGATTAATATCGTTGCCCGCCGTCGGTCCGTCTGTCTGTCCGTCTGTCTGCCTGTCTGTCTGTCTGTCTGTCTGTCTGTCTGTCCGCCCGCCCGGTCGTATTACAAACGCGGCCCGGCCCGCGGGGATTGAAGTTGGAGAGAGAAAGAAAGAGAGGGGGGGAGCAATAAAAGCGGAAAATGAAAATGAAAACTGAAACACAAAAACCGGAGCGGCCCGTCTCTCGTCTCGGTCGGGCGAGGCGGATTGCTGTAGACCGTTGAAGACAACTCTGCCGCTTAAAGTTTAACGCGCGCTGCCGCCTCCGCTTTTAAACTCGGGATTAAATAGAAGAGCCCACGGATGTTGGCTGCCAGGTTGGCCGGCGAGATATCGCGCGAATGGCGTCCGCGGCTGCCAGCTTGGCGGGGCGGCAGGGCAGGCCAGGCCGGGTCGTAACTTGGTAACTCGAAAAGCGCTTACAACAAAGGGGCTGCACTGCTGCGGGGCGGCGGGGCGGCGGGGCCGCGAGCCGCGAGGCGACTTCGGCGCGGAGGCCGCCGAGTCGAGACGGGCAGATCGCGTGCAGCGGACACATTCACGGCGCCATCATGCGGGCCGCGAGGCTCATGGCGCGCCCCGCCCCGCCCCGCTCCCAAAGCGCGCGCGCACTCACGATGAAAGCTGTACTGTGTATTGCCGTTTAAGGATTGGCTCGTGTTCCCCCGGGGCCGGCTGAGGCCTGCAGCCAAAGCCCTCCCCGACGGCAGGCACACGAGTGCACCGTGCAGCCCCAACCACTCCCCCCCTCCCCATCACGCTGAACACCTTTCGGGATAATCGTGGGTGACGTCATGCGTGGTGACCACCACACCGTTTGCTGCGACCGCCGCGCCAGCCGTCACGAGGCACTAATGACGCACAATCGCCCTGCTCGCTCGCAGCGTGAAAAAATTCCACAAAACAACACAAACACAACGAACGGACATCGATTCGAGCGTTTTCAGCGGCAGGCACACGCACGAACTTGCCACGCCTCCGGAGTCCGGCCGGGAGTCCGGACCGGACGCGGACGCGGAATCAGGGCGTCGCGTCGGCGAGCCGAGCGGCGCGGCACTGCGCGGCACTGCGCGGCACGCGGCGCGCCAAGATGGCCGCTGCCATGCATAATCAAGGCCCGCGGGGCCTCGTGCATTTTTAAAGAAGACAGACAGCGGATCATCAAAGCGCTGGGAACAGTCCTCCAAACAAAGAGAGGCCCCCGCCGCCCCGCCCCGCCCCGCCCCGCCACCGGGACGGTGATGGAGAGGAGGAGGGGGCGTCCAAGAACACGGGGTATCGATCCATCACCCCTCGCCGTGGCCGCGCCCTCGCGATGCTTCACCGCGTTTTCATCTCCTCGCGGTCCGTCCGTCTGTCTGTCTGTCTGTCCTCGGCGGCGCGTTGCAGTGGGCCGGGTAGTTGGTTGGCGCACTGTTTGAGCTGCACTCACTTCAAACAGGATCGGTTCGAGCGACGAACTTCGATAGCTCGATCACTCGAGTCCCACCCGAGAATGAGACGCGTCGCATTCGCAGTTCGCACTCGGCCGGAAGCGGCAGTTGGTGCAGCGCACTGCATCGCCTCGTTGCGCGCCGCGCGGCAGGGCGTGCAGGGCGTCGTCGCATCCGGCGCACCGGCGGGCTGCTTTGTCTCTCTCGCACTCGTGGGGCGTGCCGTGGGGGTGCGAGAGAGACAGAGGGACGCAGGCCGGCCGGGCCGCCAATGGGGACCCGCTTTGTGGACGCGCCTAGTTGCCCCGCCGGCCGGCCGCTACCGCAGCCATCAGTTCGTTCACATCGCGCACTCACGCACAGGAAAGGGAGGGGGGGCGTATAATTACTCGCGCGTTGGAACAGCGATACAACGTGTCATTACGCGTCCAGCGAGAAAGGCGGGTGGGGGGGCAGGGCTCATTACTCGCCTCAAACTCGATGCATGTGAGGCTGGCGAGGCTGAAGGCGGCCATCTTCCGAGTCCGAGCCAGGTTTCCCTACCGCCCCCCTCCCTTTCTGTTTCCCGATTTCGCGGCTAGGACGCACGCGCGAGGACGAGCGAAGTATAGAAATAGAAAATATAGAGGCGGTGGCCGTCAAACCTACTTGTGGGAAGACCGTCTTCAGATAACCGGAATTCTGTCAACAAAAGAGAGCAAGAGTCAGGCAGGGCCTTTAGGGGGGCAGCAAAGTCATCATCCTCATCACACATTCCAATGATGCCGGCAAGCGGGGCAGCAGCCCGCTTTGCAACGATTCCCCGCGCAAGGAAGGGAGAAGGGGAGGGGTCGGGCAAAGTGTCCGCAAAGTTGAGAGAAATTGGCTTGAAAGGTCTGCAAAGTGGATCTGACGCGGCGGCAAGGCGGAGGCAGAGGCGCCCGGGCAGCGGGCCGCGCCGTGACGCAGCGCTGCGTGGCGGGTCGGCCCACCTCACAGGCGCTCCGCTCGTCGCGCTGCTCGCTGTTTTTTTGAATTGATTTTTGGCGCGACGGAACGCCGTTTTCGTTTCATTTCCGAAGCATCGCCGCTATCGTGCGGCTAACGCAACGCGCCGGCTCGCCGCGCGAAGAGGGAGGGAAGGAAGGGCCTCAGCTTGCAAAGCTGCGCTGTCGGATCAAGCCCTGGGCGGCGCGGAGACTTTATCACGTGGATATGACATCAACTTGGCGAGGGAGGGGGAGGGGTGAGGAAGCAGCGCCCTCGCCACTTAGGAATATTGAGTGTGTGTGGCGCGGCACGGCACGGCACGGCACGGCGGCGCGGCGCCCCGCCTGGGGACGGCGGGACCCGGTCGGGGCGGCGGGGTGGCAGGGCGGCGGCGAGGCCCAGGGGTGGGTGTCAAAGCACGACGGGGTTGTGATTGGGCGGCTCGGTGAGCGAGGCACGGCACGGCGCGGCGGCAGCCCATCAGTGTCTGATTGGGCCCAAAGCGCCATCTTGGCGGCCGGCTGTCCGTCGCGGCGGCATGATGGAGCACCCACGACGAGGCACGCGGCCCAACACCGCCAGCCACTACAACAAGGCCGGTTGGCGGCTGATGACCGCATAGGTGACGTCATCGACGAGGGCGGCGGCCACCCCACTGCCTGCTGCTCCGCGGCCAGGCCGTCGTCGGGGAGCCCGGGCCGGGGCTGGCGGCTGGCGGCGACCGCGGGGCAGTCGGTGGCGGCCCCAGCGACGCGGTAATGAGATGAGCTCGCAGTGGTAGGGGGAGGCCGAAGGCGGTGGCGGGCACGGCGACGGCGCGCGACGCTCAGCGGCGGGCCTGCTTCGCGCCAAGCTTCCGGTGTTGTTGTTACTTCCTCCCCTGGCCGCGACGCGGTGGCGCTGCCACGCCGCCACGCCCGTGGTGGTCATGGAGGCGGTGGGGAGTGCGTGCTGGCCTGGCGGGCCGGGCTGATTGATTGCAGGCTCACTGTAAGCGACGTGTGGGGTGGTTCGGCGGGGCGGGGGTGGGGCATCAACATCGAACGGGCACTTCATTCAAGAGCGCGTTGCGGCGCGGTGGCGTCCAGGCCGACACGCCACGCGGGCACGCCGCTGTTAAAGGGGCACTTGGCCGCCACCGCGCAGCGCGGCACTGGCGGTGAATCCGTTCGAGTACGTGCTCGGTGCCTCGGTGGCTCGGTGCCGCGGTCCCCGTGGGGCCACTAGCGCCGCCCCGCCTTCGTCGGCCACCTCGATTTATCGCTATTTCAACCCCCGGTGTCAATCCGAGGCCCCCCGATCGTGTAACGCGGGGGCAGGTCGGCGGGCGCGTGAACCGCGGCCTTGGGGCCGACGGGCACGTGGCCGTCGGACGCCCCGCCGCCACGGCCTCGATCGATGACCGCGGCCAGACTAAGCGCCGCGCCTCGTCGCCGTGCCCCCGCGCCCCCGCGGCCCCGCATCGGCAATCCCGCGGCAATCCCGTAGAAAGGTTGGTCATCCATTTGGCACTTTGATATAAACACGCGGCGTGGCAGCCGGTTCACGCCGACAGAGGCGCTGGCGTCGCTGGCGGCGCAGCCTGGCCCGAGGCTACCTCGTCCTCGTCCTCCTGGCCGAGGAAGGAAAGGAAGGGGTGGCCCCCGCCGCGTCGGCACCGTCGGCACGGAGCACGACTAATGCCTCACCGTGATGATCACGGGCTAATTAAGCGAGCGCAGACTTGGCCGACCCCACCAGGGCCGCCAGGGCCGCCAGCCCCACCAGGCATATTACTTACTGCGCAGGCCGGCAGCCGGGCTGGCGGGGCTGGCAGCCAGCCGGCAGGCAGGCACCGCAGCGGGGGCACTTAGTCGAGATGCGGGCGGGGCTGGCGGGGCTGGCGGCCAACATCCCTAAAAGCAGCACCGGGTCAGAAGGCCGTGGCATTAACTATGCATGCGCGGGCAATCCGGACACATATATTAAGCCCCGGCATCAACGCCCCGCCAGCCCGGCAGCCCTAGCCTCGCGCGGGGAGCGCGTCCGGCGCGAGCGGCGCGCGGCCTCATCAGCGAAAAGGCGCAAAATCGAAGAATGCATTTTTCATATCAAAATGAAACACTTTTCGTTTTGGCGCGGTGCGGCGGTGTGTTCGAGGAAACGCGATTATTAGAACAGCGCCGTCGTTCCGTCTGGATGCATGGCAAACTTTAGCAAGGCGACGCCGCCCTGCGCCGGCAGCGTGGGGCGGGGGAGGAGGGGGATGCGGAGCAGGCGCCTCTAAGATGGTGGTAAGAGTCGTTTTAGTTAGGATGAAATAGGGGGCTGCTGCGCGTTGCTGCGCGTTGTCCTGGCGGCCTGTGGGGAGGGGGAGGTGCACGCCACAGATTAGCGCCAGAGATGAGGGAAGTGCGGGGCAGTGGGAGGGGCAGAGGAGGGGGGGGGACGCGGGGGTCGAATACGCCAGAGCGGTAAGCACTGGACAATTAAATAGCAATGGACTTTGGAGCGACGCGACGGGCAACGAGTCCGCTCAGACCGTTCAAGTTTTAGCGTGGCGTGGCGTGGCGGGGTGGGGCGGAGCGGGGCGGGATCGAAATGGAAGGGAGGTTTGCTTCTTGAAAGCCCCGCGCGCCGCGCGCGCTCTGGCGGGCAACGGCCAGGAAGCCAGCAACGGCGGACTGGCTGCCGTCTGGCTTTCCGCCGTTCACTGCGCGAAGTATTTTTGAGCATTCGTAGCTTGTTACTACCGAGTATCATAATTCTTTTTCTAAGCTCATAGAACAGGCTCAAAATCCTTTTGTAAAGGCAAACTATTTTCTCGGCGAAGCCTTTGAGGGTTTGCAAGCGAGGGTGCTGGCCGGTCTAGTCGGCTGGCCGTCGGGGGCCGTGCATAATGCAGGTGGAGGGGCTGGCGGGGCGGGCTGGCGGCAGTGCGGCAGTCAAGGTGATGCGATGCGCCATTGGAAGGCAAGGCGACGAGATAATAAAGGGCCGCCACTCCGACCCACCCTCGCCGCGCCGTCCGCGTCCAGCCAGCAGCCCGCGTTCTATCGAGATTAAGAATTAAGCGGCACGCAAAAAGGGAGAGCGGTGCGGCGGCGGCGTGGCGGCCAGGAAGGAAATGAAGTCCTCCCCTCGAACCGCCGCCGCTCCGCCCCTCTTCGGTGTCGGCGCGTGGGCCCACTCGGCGACACTCGGCCACTGCGCGGCGCGCGTTGGTGGGCGGCCAAAAGTAGCAGTGTAGTAGCATAGTGTCCGAGTGATCGGGAAATTGGACGTTCGCGCCGACCCGATTGCCAGGCCACCGAAGGCCACGCTGTTACAAGACCCTCCAGCAACAACAACAACAACAACAACAAGGGCTCCAAATTGGTGTTGTTGGCGCGGCACAGCGGCGCGGCCCCGCTCTCGCGGAAGAGAAGACCCCCATCCACTCCTACATTATTGCCTCTGAATATTTAAAACGCGTTTCAAAAAGTGAATTGGCGCGGCGGCGGTGGAGGTGGAGGCGCTGGTCGCGGCGGGCGGGGCCTGGCCTGCCTGCCTGGCGGCCTGGCCTGCCCTGCCGCGGCCCGGAGCCATTCGTCACTTTTTATGTTGAATGATCTGACCGTCCGGGCGAGGCGCGGCGAGGCGCGGCGAACGGCGGCGCGGGATCGCGGGGGTCCCCCCCCCCCTCCCCCCTCCCCATGGCCCAGCCTTATCGGTCATGGCGGTGTCTTTACCCCTTCCAGTGCCGCAGCCCTCCAGCCTTCCAGCCCTCCAGGCCGTAATGCTTAACGGCTCGGTGCGGCCATTCTGCCCGCGCCGCGTGTTCCACGCCGCGCTCCACGCCACCATAAATAGCGCCGGGGGCAGTGTGCGGCCCGGGCGGGGCGGGGCGGGGCAAGGCCGAGTAATACGCTGTTTTATATGCGCGCCCCGTGGCCCGCCGGCCTGGCGGCCCCGCCCCGCCCCGCCCGGTGGCACAGGAGCCAGGAGCGGTCCACGAACACGCCGGGCTCGGCGCGCTCGGCGGTGCCGGCGCCCTTCCCCGCCTATTACCAGCATCGCAACGACCTCTCAAGTCATATCGTACATCGTCTGCCGCGCTGCCGCCTGCTGCTCGGTGGCGCTGCGGCACGCCGCTGTACGCGCTGTGTACGTCGCGGCCCGCCCAGGGGAGGGGAGGGGAGCGGAGGGGAGGGGAGGGGCTCTCTCTCGCGCCGCTCTACATTTTCTTGATGGTTTTCTGCACATGGAACTCTCTCACACACACACACACTCGCACACATGGCGGTCCAGGACTCGCTCTGCGCCATTTCGAGTTTCGAGGCTCTTTATCTTCTCAGCGCGACGTCGCGTCTCGGAAGAGAAGAAAGTGCACGCCGCGCGGCGCCCTGTTTCCCGGTTTGAGCTCTTGCGACAGCGCGGCCGCTCCCTGCAGTCCGTGGTCCGCAGTCCGCAGCCCGTACCGTGGTCCGCTGCCAAGGCGGTGCGTGTCGGCCCCACAATGCAACGCGGCCAAAGGGCGGCCCTCCGTGGCCTTTAGCTTTGACGAGGCCAATCCAATCCGCGAACACGCTCTCTCTCTCTCTCTCTCTCTCTCTCTCTCTCTCTCTCTCTCTCTCTCTCTCTCTCTCTCTCTCTCTCTCTCTCTCTCTGGCAGCGCATGTCCCGCTGACACGGCGGACTCGACGCCGTGGAGGCCGTGCTGGAAGACGGAGCGTTGCAGTCATTTACAAACG